GCCGCCGAGCCTGCCCCGGGCCAGGGCGGGAGCCGCGCGGCGGGCCCGACGGGGCGCGGGTGGCACCACGAGTCCGCAGTTCCCGCTTCCTAGCTACCAGGTATCGGTTCCCGAAAACGAAGCGGCGGGCACGGCGGTCATCGAGCTGCGCGCGCACGACCCCGACGAGGGCGAGGCCGGGCGGCTGAGCTATCAGATGGAAGCGCTGTTCGACGAGCGCTCCAACGGCTACTTCCTCATCGACGCCGCCTCGGGCGCGGTGAGCACGGCCCGCGCTCTGGACCGCGAGACCAAGGACACGCACGTGCTCAAGGTGAGCGCCGTGGACCACGGCTCGCCGCGGCGCTCAGCCGCCACCTACCTCACCGTCACGGTCAGCGACACCAACGACCACAGCCCTGCCTTTGAGCAGTCCGAGTACCGCGAGCGCGTGCGGGAGAACCTCGAGGTGGGCTACGAGGTGCTGACCATCCGGGCCACCGACGGCGATGCGCCCTCCAACGCCAACATGCGCTACCGCCTGCTGGAGGGCGCGGCCGGTGTCTTCGACATCGACCCCCGCTCGGGCGTGGTGCGCACGCGGGCGCCCGTGGACCGGGAGCGGGCGGCAGAGTACCAGCTGCTGGTGGAGGCCAATGACCAGGGCCGCAACCCGGGCCCGCTCAGCGCCACAGCCACCGTGCACATCACCGTGGAGGACGAAAACGACAACTACCCGCAGTTCAGTGAGAAGCGCTACGTGGTCCAGGTGCCTGAGGACGTGGCGGTCAACACGGCGGTGCTGCGCGTGCAGGCCACGGACCAGGACCAGGGCCAGAACGCCGCCATCCACTACAGCATCGTCAGCGGCAATCTGAAGGGACAGTTCTACCTGCATTCCCTGAGCGGGAGCCTGGATGTGATCAACCCTCTGGACTTCGAGGCCATCCGCGAGTACGCCCTGCGCATCAAGGCCCAGGATGGGGGCCGGCCTCCGCTCATCAACTCCTCAGGGCTGGTGGCCGTGCAGGTGCTGGATGTCAATGACAACGCGCCCATCTTCGTGAGCAGCCCGTTCCAGGCTGCTGTGCTGGAGAACGTGCCGCTGGGCCACTCGGTGCTGCACATCCAGGCTGTGGACGCCGACTCGGGTGAGAATGCCCGTCTGCGCTACCGCCTGGTGGACACGGCCAGTGCGGGGAGCAGCGGTGGTGCGGGGCCTGAAGACCCTGCCCCGGGCCACAGCTTCCCCTTCCAGATCCACAACAGCACGGGATGGATCACGGTGTGTGCCGAGCTGGACCGCGAGGAGGTGGAGTACTACAGCTTCGGGGTGGAGGCCGTGGACCACGGCTCGCCGCTCATGAGCTCCTCGGCCAGCGTGTCCATCACCGTGCTGGACGTCAACGACAACGACCCGGTGTTCACGCAGCCCATGTATGAGTTGCGTCTGAACGAGGACGCGGCAGTGGGCAGCAGTGTGTTGACCCTGCAGGCCCGCGACCGGGACGCCCACAGCGTGATCACCTACCAGCTCACGGGCGGCAACACCCGGAACCGCTTCGCCTTGAGCAGCCAGAGCGGCGGTGGCCTCATCACCCTGGCCCTGCCGCTGGACTACAAGCAGGAGCGGCAGTACGTGCTGGCGGTGACGGCGTCCGACGGCACCCGCTCACACATGGCACAGGTCTTCATCAACGTCACTGACGCCAACACCCACCGCCCTGTCTTCCAGAGCTCTCACTACACGGTCAGTGTCAGTGAGGACCGGCCCGTGGGCACCTCCATCGCCACCATCAGTGCCACGGACGAGGACACAGGGGAGAATGCACGCATCACCTACGTGCTGGCGGATCCGGTACCACAGTTCCGCATCCACCCCGACACCGGCACCATCTACACCATGACGGAGCTAGACTATGAGGACCAGGCCGCCTACACGCTGGCCATCACTGCTCAGGACAACGGCATCCCTCAGAAGTCCGACACCACCTCCCTGGAGATCCTTATCCTTGACGCCAACGACAACGCGCCTCACTTCCTGCGTGACTTCTACCAGGGCTCTGTGTTCGAGGACGCACCGCCGTCAACCAGTGTGCTCCAGGTCTCTGCCACCGATCGGGACTCAGGCCCCAATGGCCGTCTGCTGTACACCTTCCAGGGTGGGGACGACGGTGACGGGGACTTCTACATTGAGCCCACGTCTGGCGTGATCCGCACCCAGCGCCGGCTGGACCGGGAGAACGTGGCCGTGTACAGCCTCCGGGCTCTGGCTGTGGACCGGGGCAGCCCAGCAGCCCTGAGCGCCTCAGTGGAGATCCAGGTGGCCATCCTGGACATCAATGACAACCCCCCGGTGTTTGAGAGGGACGAGTTAGAACTCTTTGTGGAGGAAAACAGCCCGGTGGGGTCGGTGGTGGCGCGGATCCGCGCTGAGGACCCCGACGAAGGCCCCAACGCCCAGATCATGTATCAGATCGTGGAGGGCAACGTGCCTGAGGTCTTCCAGCTGGACCTGCTCAGTGGGGACCTGCGTGCCCTGGTCGAGCTGGACTTCGAGGCGCGGCGGGAGTACGTGCTGGTGGTGCAGGCCACGTCGGCCCCGCTGGTGAGCCGGGCCACCGTGCACGTGCGCCTGCTGGACCAGAACGACAACCCCCCGGTGCTGCCCGACTTCCAGGTCCTCTTCAACAACTACGTCACCAACAAGTCCAACAGCTTCCCCAGCGGCGTCATCGGCCGCATCCCGGCCCATGACCCCGACCTCTCGGACAGCCTCAACTACACCTTCCTGCAGGGCAACGAGCTGCGGCTGCTGCTGCTCGACCCGGCCACCGGCGAGCTGCAGCTCAGCCGCGACCTGGACAACAACCGGCCGCTGGAGGCGCTCATGGAGGTCGCCGTGTCGGGTGAGTGGCCAGGGCGGGCGGGCCGTGGGGACCGCAGGGGCCGTGCCTGGCGTGCCGGGACGCGTCCCGACAGGGCCCGGCAGCTCTCTGGGGACTTGTTCCACGCGGTGCCCGGAGCCGGGGCGCCCCCCACCTGGGGCTTGGCGACTGGGAGGGGCCCGTGCTGCTTCCTCAGCATTTTGGGGGGAGCAGGCCTGGGCTTTTCCAAGTTCCCTGGCTCGTGTCTCCGCGGGCCGCCGGCTCCTGTGGCCTGCTATTAAAGCCTGGTCTCTGGGGCGACGCGAGCCGTCTGGGTTGCCTGGCGAGGCCCTAACCACAGGTCCTCCTGGGAAGATCAAAGGTCACTGCTTGCCCCATGTGGCCATTAGCTCTCGGGTGGGACCGTTGGGAATTGCCGCCGGGGCCCTGAGTCACCCTGTGATGCGGCCGTGTCTCTTAGGAGCTCCCTTGGTCTCGCTTTTCTGTCTCCTGCAGTTAATAACAATGGACTCAGGCACGCTCGCTTTGTGTGAAAAGCATAGCCTCATTTGATCTTGGCTTCGGCTTCTGCACACGGCCTTATAATTTGGGTGTTACTCAAGAGACATGCCCAGGTTGGCGGTGGAGCGGGTGTGGGAATCCTGCTTGCCCGGCCCCGGGGCTGGAGGGGCACGGACGGAGGCGAGCTGTCCGAGGCGAGCTCTGAGCTCGGCCAGGCTGAGCACTTGGAGGCAAAGGGTGGTCCCCACGCCCCTGAGCCCCAGCGGGGCTACGGGAAGGGGGACAGGTGGAGGGCGGAGGGTTGTGAGGCATGGGAGAGAGAGAAGGATTTCGGGGTGCGATGAAGGGGCCTCAGCACCTCTTGGAGCAGGTCTGCCTGGCTTCCACCTCAGGGTATGAGTGGCTGGGACAGGCCGTGGCCTTAGTGATGACGCCCAGACATCCCCCAGAACCAGCTCAAAGCTGTAGATGGTGGATTCAGTGTCTCGGATGGGTTCTTTAAACAAGAAATTCTTACCATACAGCCAGTCCTCAGGTTAAGTACAACTGGTAGTTACAGATTAACTCCCGGAAAGCCTATTAAGTTAAAAATTTGAGGTACATGTAACGATCCTTAAAAACAAAGTGCTAACCAGAAGGTTGGTGGTTCAAACCCACCAGCTACTCCATGGAAGAAAGACTAGGCAATCTACTTGCATAAAAATTGACTACCTCAAAAACCCAGTGGGGTCACTATGAGTCAGAATCTTCTTGATGACCGTGAGTTTGGTTTTGGTTTTAATAAAGAACTTCATCAGGGCTACCGCTTTGTTAGGGATGTGCTGCTTTGTGATGCGCATCAGAACAGCACCATTCCCACTGTATTATTATGTTAAAGATGTCTGCATGTGTCAGGGAGTGTTTCTTTAATGTTTATTATGCATAGAGAGTCACACTATATGCTATATGTTAAGACAAACATTCCACCAACTGACTTTAGATACCAAGCAGACTAACTGTTCCAAGTCACATACGAATTCAGCTTACAAACCGACTTAGGGTCTGATCTTATCGGTAACCCGAGGGCTGCCTGCACTGTACCTTCCTGGCCCTGGAAGATTTAGCTGATTTTCGGGATTGCTTTGTTCCGTAGCTGCCTGTAATCTCCCATGAGGCCTGGGTAGTGAGCAGGTTCCAGGTATGGTGTTTGCTTATAAGATCTGAAACGTCCGGGTCCCGTTTGGAAGTGTTGCAATACATCAACATGGATTCTGGTGGCATCTTCTATTTGCAGGTGGCTGTTTTGGGTTTTGGGAGGAGCGGGCCCTTCTTGGTGAGGTGCTGCTCAGAGCCATGCTGTGGTAAGAACAGACATGAGAGCCAGCACAAAGAACATTTGTGTCCTCAATTCCCACTGGCATTTTCTTACCCTTTTTTCAAAAGAAGTGCCATGCCACTTCTGCAGGGTTCTTTCTTTTGCTTGATACAACGTAGTGGGCATTTTGGCCAATGTATCAATGGGTTGGCAAAATCACAGGGTTTTGAGGCTATGTGGACATGGTGCTTTCGGTGGGGAAGGGTCCCGGGAGCAGGAGCAGGGATGTTTTCCGTATCTCAAGCATGAGGGACGTGCATGCCTTTCCTGGTGGGCCCACAACGGGAACCACAGTTGGAGAAGGGTCAGGGATACCACATCACGCAGCCATGAGGTGGCTTGGTGATCTGGCCCCCGGCTCCTCATCCTTTGCTGACACACGCGCCAGGGACCAGACGCTGGGGCCTTGTGTGTCTGTCCCCCGGGATAATAGCGAGGACTTTTTCTGGGTCTGCACCCCGCTGTTTTCAACCCGTCCTGTATTCCTCTGATAACTGAGTGGGGGTGGGCTTAAGCCACTGCTGCCCATTTTACAGATGATGAAACTGAAGTTCCTAGGCAATAAGTGTCGCCCAGCCTGGGAGCAGGCGAGCCTGGCGTCCCACCACCAGATGAAACAAGGCTGCTTTCACACTCTTCTCTTCCCTAAGACAAACGGTTGGAGGAATGGGTGGTGCAGCTCAGGGTTCCAGTGCCCCCTTGGGTCTCCTGCGTTAAACCCGGCACCACCGGTTGGGTCTGGCTCTTGCAAACCCTGTGACTGCTGGGTAACCCCCAGAGCAGCAGATTGCTGCAGACCATAAGATCGGGGTTCCAGACACCAAAGCACTGTGTCAAAGCGAAAAGTAAGCCCTCAAGTTAACCAGGCTTGGCTTCTCTGGTTTTATAAAGGAACAATGGAAAACCCATTGTTTCACACCTAGAGGTTATTTTCAATGACCTGTTTGGGCTTCACTGGGTTTGTGGCTGTACCCTGTTGCCTTTAATGCATGCGTACAGCCTGGAGGCTATACTGGCTGGCTGTTAGGTTTTATGGCAGTGACTCTGGGAAAGGCCATGTGTCCCCTCTGACCCAGCACCTGCTGAGTACCGTGCCTTGCGGGGGGTGGGGTGGATTTCACTGAGGGCAGGACATCTGGGGGCAGTCCAGTGGGGGAGGTACACCTGGGCATGTTGCACCTGGTGGAGGTACACCTGGGCGTGGTATACCTAGGTAGGATGCACTTGGGGAAGATGTGCTTAGTGGTGATGCACCTGGGGGAGGTACACCTGGGTACCCTGTACCTGGGGGAGGTGCACCTGGGTACCGTTCACCTGGCAGCTGGACCGAGGCAGACGTGCCCCAGAGTCGGGGCTGCTCCCTTCTGGGGCCTGGGGTTTTAACACAACCTCTTTGACTGTACGAAGTCATTGTTGATGCTCTCATGTAGCCACCAAGGTCAAAGGCCACCTGAAAATGTTTTGCAAGTGTGAACATAGCTAAATTGCAGATGGCTGCCATTTTGGGATTCTAGCCGGTGACGTAAGACTTTCGTTTTCTATGCAGCCGTATTTGAATGGGGTTTTAAATTCTGTGACTGGAGCGTTTCTGAGGCTCTGATAGCCGCGTTGGCATATTTCAAAGCAGCCTGGCCAGTAGCAGATGGGAAAGGCGGCCCTGCGTGCTACCCGCAGTACCGCAAGGCGCCGATCTCTAGCTCGGTGGCATCTGGCTCTGCCTTGAACGGGCGTGCCTGTGGGTTCAGCTGTTGGTGGAAGGCTCCCCGACCCTGTGTGCATTCAGATCTGCAGATGTGGCAAACCAGCGTTTGAGGGTAAAATGATTGCTGGATGAGTCATCCCGACGTGGTAGAAAATCCTGAGGCTGGAAGAGGATGGGAGGGAGTCACCTTCCCACGGTGACTGCTGCGGAGTGGGGACTAATGTCGTCCAGGGCTGATGAAGTCTCAGAAGTGTTTGCCTCCTTCCAACAGGACATCACAGGGCTTTTTAACTAGAAGATTACAGATGAGGCAATGAGGGACGGCATCTTCTGGAAGCATGGCCTTATTTTTTGTCTGGAGCTCACAGTGTAGAAAAGGTTAAAAAACAAAACAGAACAAAAAACTCCGCTATTGTTGAATTGATTCCAACTCATATTGACCTGGAGGACAGAGCAGAACTGCCCAAAGGGTTTCTAAGGCTGTCAATCTTTACAGAATCAGATTGCCTCTTCTTTCTCCCTCAGAGTGCCTGGTGGATTCACACCTCCGACCTCTGGGCTAGGAGCCAATTGCTGTAACCAGTAACCACCAGACCTATCGGTGGTGGAGCTGGCTTCTCACTAGGAAGAGTTAGGTGTTGTGGAAACGAGTTAACCACTTAAGGGCACAGATAACTCTTGACACAGTAACCAGTCGCTAACAGGCTCTCTGAAACCCTGGCTCAGACACGAAGGAGTGTTTGTGCATTTACTGGGGGCCTGCGGTGGCCGTGTGGTCTGCAAAACAGTCGTGGCCCCTGCCCTGCTGGAGGCGGGTGGCAGTATACACACGACTGAACTCAAGGAGAGAGGGGTGACCAGAGAGAGTGCAGGAAGTGGGCGTGGGGACACTCTGGTGTGACTGTGTGGGCACAGCATTGGGCAGGGATGGGGATCCCTGAGTCTGGGGAGGGCTGAGTCATGTAGGGTTTAGTTGCCCCGTGAAGAGGAGGCTCGGGGCCGAGGATGCGTCGGAGGGTCATTCTAGGGTGGTGAGAGCGGGTGGTGGAGGGACGAGGAGGTGTGGGGGGGTGCTTGCAGCCAGCCTGGCCTGTGTGGGGTGGTGGAGGCAGAGGCCTGGACCGACAGAGGGGGACTTCGGAGGGTGAGATGGGCAGGTGGCCGTGTGGGTGGCATTGCTCTTGGCGTGTGCTCCACATGCAGGGGCCCTCAGTTGCAGCTGTCTGAGCACAGCCAGTCCCCTTGCTGCCACTGTTTCTGTCTTAAGGATGCGGAAGCCAGGGCCCCACGAGCTTCAGGGAGGCTCCCAGGTCACCCAGCTTGGGGTGACGGAGTGGAACCGGGCCTGCGTTCCCCGAATAACGGGCTCTGGGGGAGGAAAGGGGAGGGAGGGACATACAGGAAGTGGATTTGCTGAGGGGAGGACCGCAAAGCCACCTTGGAGGCCATGCCGCTGAAGCATCTTTGAGATTTTCGGGAAGATGTTAGACACGCAGGTCACAGAACCTGGTAAGGGGCCCAGGGCTGGGCCTGGGAAGGTGGACGGGCCTGCAGGTGACAGGGTGACCTGGACCCACAAGGGCCAGGATCCCCACCTCAGCACTGACAGCCTGGTGGTGTGGGGTCTCACCTTCCCTATCCAGGGTGAGGGGGAGAAAAATAGCGAGGCACAGGGGTCCCGGGAAAGTGCTTCAAGACCCTCGGAAGGAACCAGCAGGAAGGCT